TACGATAACAATGTCAAAGGTACATATAAACTTTAATGGAGGGATCATGAGACCATAACAAGTCGGGAGAATTTCAATTGAAAAGTCAATCGCAATGACGTAACAAGCCCCACAAGCGGGACAAGTCACATCCCACAAGCGGGACAGGGGTCAAACGACCATGTCACAAGCTCAATATAGGGTATGTCCTCAATCGGCATTGAGAAGAGCAGTGCATCGACGACGCATAGAGCCTATCAAACATGCAAGGAAGGATTGTGGGATGTCACGCCAGATTCTCTCAAGTTCTGTTGCAAGGTCAAGGACGTTATCTGGCGGATGAGGAAGACGGGGTAGACGTCGATCCATCTCGTCCCAAACATGCTCTATCGGGGAGAGATCCGGTGAATTTGCAGGCCAAGTCAACGTTGTGGTGTTGCAAGAAATCTATAGCAACCCTTGCCGTATGATGACGGGCATTGTCCTGTTGGAATGTTAACTCAGGGCCATGACGTTGCAGAAAAGGAATTTGTCGAAGAATCTCATCCCTGTAGCCCACACCGGTTAAGTTGCCCTGAACAATCATCAAAGGAGTTCTTTGGCGTGCTGTTATCCAACCCCAAATCATCACGGAACCAACACCAAAACGATTCCTCTCCAAGACACAGGCCTGTGCATAACGTTCTCCCACGCGTCTATAGGCACGTTGACGTCCATCACTAAGGGAAATGTTAAACCTGGACTCATCTGTAAAAAACGACATTTCTCCACCAAAACATGGGTCTGCGGACATGATTTCGGCACCACATTCGGCGAGCTTGTCGATGACGTTGTGTCAGGATAGGCCGTGTGGCCTGACGTCGTTTTGTCTGATCCCGTGATAACGTAAACGTTGTCGAACTGCGTTGGGGTGGATACGGCGAAGTCCTGGGATGGTTCGGGCAGTCATCACTGCAGTCTGAAACCTGTGGCAAAGATGGGTCACCCTTATCCATCTGTCCTGTCTTGGCGTTGTTACACGTGGACGTCCAGAACGTGGCCGATCGATGACGTCATTTGTGTTCTGGTAGCGTCTCACCAGTGCAGAAATGGTGTCCCGGTGGCAGTGGAAATGTGCAGCCACTTGTCGTTGAGACATTCCCCCACGGACCATCCCAATGGCCTCATGACGTTGTGCAGACGTGAGCCATGGCATGCTATGCGTTTCAATAGCCGTTTAATTGTTTGAACGATCGCAAGGGCAGGGGTTGAGCTTTCCAAAGTGACATTATTTTGTGGCATTCATTTGCTCAGTTTCTCTTTCCCGGACTGCACGTGCACCAACGTATTGCACGTCTCAAGGACGAACCCACTGACGTCACGGAACGTGGCACGTGCATGCATGTTGGATACATGTCACTAATCTCTGAGTTTAAATCCTTATGTTTCTACACAGGTTTGATAAATTTAGATTTTACATTTGTGTATGCATACTTTCTTTATGTGCCTAGTATATATTATGTTGGCAATACATGTTCTCCATTTCACTCATCATCTATCATAACACTTCAGGGTCCTCTTCCTGTACAATGATCAATACCAACATTTTGGTATTACGATTAGTGAAGTATAATCATTTGAGCATATTTGTTCACCTACGACACGTTAACACATTAATGAATATCAGAAAACGAAAATGGCATTTTAACAATAACACATCTGTTTTAAAAACGTTTATATGGGGAGGCAATGCAAAAGTTTTACTTTGAAAATGTTGTATTGTCCCTTTGTTGAATCGTTGGCCAGTGATAAATTGGAAACCCTTATGAAAGGGTAATAACGCAGCAATGTCCATTCCAGTATTCTATAGCGAAAATATGCGTTTTGTACACAATGCAATAGGACAATTCAAAGCGAAAATAGATACTGCGCATGTCTATGATAGTGTCTACAAGGAAGATTCTTAGCAACACAAAATTAAGGATTGAATCGGTGACCAATCTGGAAAAGTGTGAAAACTACTATATGTTTCAAACATCAACAGGTAAGTACTTAAAACAAGCAATGTCGAGTACGCTGACACTGACACTGACGCTGACACAAGATACTGACACTGTTTTGGTTCACTACAGGTAGAGGATATGTGGTTGTCCAACCAACTGTATGCAACTGTTAGACAACCAGGTGCCCTTCAATATTTGTGATTCACCCGAGGACATTTCACCAGCCAAGTCGACCGAGGTGATTATGTGTATATCTGAGCTGGATAATATCATATAACGCTCTAATTACATTATCTAATCAAGCCACAACGCTAAAGTGTGAATACAGGCGAATATCAGTTTGTATCTAATGTCATAGTTTGTACGTAGTTTATGTCTATCAGTCATGATGATAGTATTTGGGTCATGCAAAACAACCAACCTTCCTGAAAGTGTTTGTACGCAGTCGGATTTGTGGGGGCAGTTACAAACTTTTCATAGCCTGTCTCTTCACTGTTTTCAGTGGCATTCACCCTTATTGTCAATCTTACTGTCAGTACGTGATACTCTCACCATCATGCCATTCGTCTATGTTTAGACATAGACACTTGACATTGTAATGTCACTCCGATGATGAATTGCTTTACGATAGCCCTTATACCAGATCATTTCCTTGATCCCGCTTGTCACTTGCTATGTCACATTGCTATGTTGGTTTGCCACGCGATGTGTTTTAGACGAATCCTTTAGCCTAAGAATAACGAACATAGGTGACTGATGAATATGCAACACCTGATTGGCTGAAACAAACCTACGAAATATACCGAACATAAAAGCATGCAAAACCGAAGGTAGATATCAGTCAAGAACCGGTTTGAGAATTTCTGATAAAATGGGGTTAGAAATATGATACATGTACCGGTCTTGCTAAACGCAAGTGTTCAGTCAACACTTAGCGCTGTCCGGTTTCTGGAGATAATGCTTTCACTTACCTTTTTGATAACAGTGTCAATTCCACATGTATTTAATACTGGTTCCTTCACGGTACCCACACGTATTAGCCTGGTGAATTCCAAGTAATATTTGAAAGCGTAATACGCGAAATCGCGCTCTGCAGCCAACACTGAAGGTGTATCAAATCATTTTCACTACAAACTGGTTTGGGTTAGTTGTGTAACGCCGCACTCAGCAATATTCCAGCTATATAACGGCAGTCTGTAAATTATCGAGTCTGGACCAGACAACCCAATGATTAACATCATGAGCATCGATCTACGCAATTGGGATAAGGTGACCTGTGTCAACGAGTCTGACTCCCCGATCCCGTTAGTCGCTTCTTAAGACAAGCATGGGTTGCTGAAGACCAATTCTAACCCGGATCTTCAGGGGTTCCCCAAAACTGTAGACGTTGCGGGTATTTCACTCAAACTCATCTTCGGATATTTGTATGATCGCATGAATACCCTTCTTCTTTATTTCACAATCACCTTTCGTTACGTATGAAGACCACAGCCCCATCTATTTAGTAACATATATATATTCCAAACTGGCATGAAGGCTTTAATGAAAATAGGAAACAATTTCTCACAATGCATAGCATTTTCCTGTCTATCCGCATAGATTACCTTACAACCCAATAACTTAAATACACAAAGAACTTATTTAAGAACACCCTGTATGGAAAAACGTAAAAAACATGAGTTTTTGTGACCCTTATGATGCTTGGACTCATAAAAAAGTACAGAATGATTGGAATCCATGTTTATTTTATTATAATAATTGCTCATTTTAAAAAAAACCCCTGATTTTCATACATAACCATGTCTTTACAAGTATCGCCCTGGAATATTTAATATTGACTTAATTGGTGAATGTGAATATTCAAAATGTCTTTTTGCGTGTCTTACACGATTCAAGGTCAATAGCGAGAGTAACCTCCATGTGACGTTATGACAGACAGAACACTCCCCCTCATACCCTCTCAGAGCCTCCTGATCCTCAAAAGGGCCAGTCTACGCCATTCATCGTGTAAAGCAGATTCCAGTTGGACCAGGTTCCGTACAGGAGGATCCCTGCGTTGCACACGACGACTAACCATGTCCCGGATAAGCTCCAAACGGTTAAGATCGGGGCTCATTAAATCGTGAGATATGTCAAGGGGTGCTTAACTAAGTGTATATTAATAACAACTCTATGTATAGCTGAACTGGTATCTTTGGAATTTTAACACCTATTTTCTAGTTTTCCAACTTTACTCTAATTTCGTATGTTTCATAAAACGAGCTAGATTGGTATTTTTTCAGTTTTGTTTTGTTTACTGAAGGATATCATATTAACTTGCAAATTGTTAGGCAATAATGCCTTCCAAAATTCTGTATAAGCAGGGCATTTCAACAACAAGTGATATCATCTTCTAAATCTACTTTACACACAGGAAATGTCTTAGAGATACATCAGTATTTTGCCACCTTCCAACGTTATTCTTTAAAAGTAGGACACCAGCTCAAATTTAATCAATATTGTACGGAATTTACATTCCACAATGGAAGATTGATTCCCCCTGGTTCAAGGAGACACATATATTTCAGCGTTCGAACTCGGGAAGTAATATAAACTGGAAATATACTCTCTCATTACCGACCGACATTTAAATAATATTTTACATTCTAGTAAGTGATTTGTTTTCGGTGCTGTCATATTTTAACCACTTTAAAAATACATTGGTCGAATTTGGCTGTCAAATATTTTTCAAAATACTCCCATAGGTATTGGTTCCAATTTCCTTTAGTCTACAGCTCATTCCATGAGAGCCTTCTTACCGCAGACTGGGGTGGTTTGGGGTGGAGAGGATGGTCGATGCTGATATTTTCTCCAGGTGCAGTTACACACCAATTTTTAACTTGACGTCATCAGGCAATCATTTCCTTTTCAACATTAGCACAAGTTAGTTCCTCAAACTATTCATTTTGAGGGATGTCCAAACAAACTATCCATTTAAAACATCTCCCCTCCACCCTCCACCCTCCTCGATTGCAAAGCGTCACCGGTGCTGTTTATGAGTTTGATAAATTGACGTTATATATTTACTTGACCTACTTGATTACTCACTTGATTTCCTAGTTTAAGAATAAGCTCAGGAGCATACGTCTGAGGGCGTCCTGGGATCTGTTAAGTGGCGACCATCTTGATGTGTTTTTACCTAGGTGGGAAGTTTTCATTTACGGCACTGGATGAATCACAGAAGATATAAAGCATAGAACCATGCAATCTTTAATTGATCACTTTATCAGAAACATTCTTGGAATTGTACTCAATCGTTTATTTTCCAAACGCATATTGACGCATACCATCCTGGAATGATCAAATCACTTGTAATACTTTGACTGTTACACACACAAAGTGAACTTGGTATGGATTGTTCAGCTGTATATGGTTTTGTTAACAGATTTGTGTTGGTAGTGTTATGAGAGTGTGTTTTTGTAAAATTGATTAACTCTTCATTATTATGGGTCAAAAGAGATTAAAGGGCTGAGGGTGATTTGAACTCGCATCCTGCTTAGGCTATGTAATTATGCCTTTTGAGAGTGAGCTGAGAGCTGCGCTCGGGAGTTACCTCCTCTATATTACGATCCCGGTTTGCTGCTTCCGATGTAAGACTGTGGCATTCATTCGAGTGAGTTCTTCATGATCGTAGTGTGACCTAAATGGCCGTAGTGAGTGTAGGGAGGCCCTCGCGTTAATTAGTAATAACGTTTACTTCATACGAAACATGAGAAATATATCCTCATATCTGTTTTCCAAAACAAAAAAGTAAATCAGTAAATGCCTCAACTGCCACATATTCATCTGCAGATAACCATGTCTTACTACGTATCAACGTCCGCCATCAAGGATCTCCTCACCGAGTGCCCAATATGTACAGAACACTTTGATGAGGCCACACGTACACCTCGTCGTATGCCATGCTGTGTGCAGTCAATATGTGAGGCATGTCTGGAGACCCACAGCAGAGGGCGCCTAGCCATATCATGCCCAATGTGCCGACACCAACACAACCTGCCGGGCGGTGTGAAGTCTCTTCCCAAGGAGCCTGTCATCCTAAGAATCCTGGATAACCTGAAGATTGTGAAGGGTCTCAATCTGCCGCGTACAGATTGTACTGATGGTAACCCTGCCATGTCCAAATGTGATGACTGTGTCGCCTTTCTCTGTCAAGAATGTCTGAATGCTCACAAAAGAGTTAAGACTCTGCGAGATCACCATACTGTCAGTTTTCAGGAAATGAAAGAAGGACCAAGTAAAAACTTCCACCGTGTTCATAAGTGTGCACAACATCACCTCCCTCTACAGTTCTACTGCAACACCTGTGATAAGATCGTCTGCGTGTCCTGCACTGTAGTAGAACACAAGGAAGGGAAGGGGCACAACGTTGTTCCCGTTGATGACGCACACCAAGAGAGGGCAAAGTCTATTGAAGACACCTTAGCCAAGCTGGATCAGAAGTCAGAGAAACTTCTGGAAGCAGAAAAAGATCTCCAGAAAAGATACTCAGGCATAGAGGAGTCAACAAAGGTTGCTGTGGTTGACATCAACACAGCCTTTGACAAACTGATGGATAAAATACAGCAGAGGAGGGCCATCATGTTGTCAGAAGTTGAAGAGAAATCCAGCAACCTTCTGAAGCTGACACAGGAGGAACTGGATTCCACCAGAACCATTCTGACTAAGGTGACATCATCTACTGAGTACACAAGACAGATGCGGGGTAAAGCTGACAAGATAGAGGATATACAAGTGATGGAGTCTTCAGCTGCCACCTTGAGCGCAATGTTGGAGTTGTCACCAAAGGCATCACTTGGAAGAGCTGGTGTCAGCTTTGCTTCAACTTGCTTCAGCAAAATTACTACCTTCTTGAAGATGGCTGGTCTTGTCAAATCAGTTGTCTTTACACCGATTGAGAATTCAAATCCAGATGACTCCCTAAACAATGCAATCACCTTTGAACACGCGGAAGTCCCACAAGGTAGGCATGCAGCTGCTGCTTACCTGCAAACCCAAAATTGTTAGACTTGATCCATTTGAAGATTTTTCTGTGTCTTCATTTGTAACCGTGCAAACACCTTGCAGCTATAATTATGCCAGATGTGTTATGAAAGTCCTGTCTATTGTTGACCTTGATGTCATGTGTTTCGATCTTGACGTCATCTTAATGCTCAAGACCTGTAACCCAACAATTTTCTATGTTATACTTTTCTGTGTCCTCATTTGTAAATGTGCAAACATCTTGCAGAAACAAACTATCCCAGATTTGTTGTGAAAATACCCACATGGTCATGCTGTCTATTGCTGATCTTGATGTCATGTGCTTCGATTCTAAAGTCATGTTAACGTTCTTTTCCACAGCTGCATATATGACTGGGCTGCCATTGGGAGTAAAAGGATCGATCTCATGTAAGTAAGCCCGTAGACTGCTGTATTGATTTAATGAGCATTCGGAAGTCAAGTCACTGTACACAAACATGAAAGCTTATTTCTTTTACTGTTTGTTTGGGTCCATTTTTGTGGTCATAGTGTGACAAATTTGAATAGTGTCTACAAAACTCATCGTACAATGTAGTAGTGCATAGAAGTGATGACGCCACGTTATATGATAACGATGTCTCAAAGCCGTTTACAAGCCGGTTAGGAGTAAGACAGGGCTGTATTTTAAGTCATTTTCTGTTTGGTTTATTCATAAATGAATTACAAACTCAAATTCATAAAGATTGCAATCATAGCATCCAACTACATCCTGATATTACGCAGCTGTTTTTGCTTTTATACACAGATGATATGATATGATATGATATTCCAATACTGTTAATGGTCTACAGAGACACAATGATGAATTAGAAAATTATTGTGATAATTGGAAACTAAGTTTAAACAAAGATTAAACGAAAGTTGTAGTTTTTTTTAAAAAAGGCAGGGAAATGGTTTTTCTAGGAAGAACTTTAGAAATAACATGGTTCTATAAATATTTACCAAAACCTTGTCATGGAATAGAAGGTTTGTATTTGTATCTATGAGCAGTTAAGTGCACTAGGAAATATTTCATTTAAGACGCTTTTTAAATTTCTTTTTATGTTTAACTAAGTCTAATACTACTGTATGGATATTAAGTTTGGGGCTTAAACCATTTCGATGTAATAGCAAAAGTTCATTTATATGTCTGTAAAAGATTTATTGGCGTTAAGACAAGTACATCTAGTATTATGGTGAATGTGGTAGATTCCCGATGCACAAATTTTCTCAAGTTAAAACTGTTAAATACTGATTGTTGAAATTCTAAAATGTTTTACAATATGATGATAGTTCATAAGAATAATGGAAAAAAAAATTGGGTAACGATTATAAAGACATTGCTGTTTAAAACTGGTTTTAGTGACACATGGTATGACCAAAACGTTAGCTGCTACCCTGATTAATTTCATCAAGTCAAAGACTTAAGGATATTTATGTGCAGACATGGTTTGAATCAACTGACTTAATGAAACAAATGTTTCTATTACAAACTTTTTAAAGCCCAAATATGTTTGGAGTGGTACCTCTGTAAGATGACAGTAAAGGTGAGGTAAGGTGAAATTGGGTTTAACGTCGTGCTTGAGAATATTTGGCTCATATGACGAAGATGACAGTAAAGAAGTTCCGAGTTGCATTATAACGATTTCGATGTTCATCTCATGATTTGTGTCCAGAAAATGGACGCTATACTAATATTTATTGACAAGAGAGACTATGCCAACTATGTGATTTAAATACTGTCGAGGATGAGTAACATTTCCTTCTTGTTTGTCAGCTGTTCTCAGATCTTAGAAGAAAATATTTACTAAATTATTTTTATAGATATCCAAAAGTTAATAAATTTATATCATTACTAACAACTAAACCGAAAAAGGTAACGCCCATTAACTGACTACTGATTCCTGGTTGACGGAAAATAGATCGGGCTTACGTTATGCTTTACTTTCCATGTCGCTGATTTCGCGTTGTTCTCTTCAGTTTCTTACTGATTTGATAAACAGCCTGTAAGGTTTCATCCTTGACATATTCAGTGTATTACCCTTAAAGGGACTGTATGTCTTCTCTCCAGGTGTGGAGCTGGAGTGGGACTTCAGTACTGCAAGTGGCAATTTGATGGTTTCGGGCCCAGTTGTCTATAATGATACACAGAAACAGCCTCCACCAAACACTGGATGCCGAATAGTTTCATCTCGAAGTCTCCTGACATCAACACCTCTCGTCATCAGGCCAGGCCAGACCATCATGTATGGAATGGAGGTCACATTCTCTGTCAACACACCAGCAGATTGGAAGAGAGTTCTTTTCGAAACAGTTTTGAATGACAGCCCTGTTGAAACGAGCAAGCAGCAGACACGTGGATTGAATGTCTGTCTTGTTACATGCGCAGATCATAATGGAATATGTCTGAGGGTGTACTACAATGGACAACGTCTGACGGACGACCACCTAACAGTCTACGAGCAAGACACAGTTTACAGCCTGGTTTTGGGGTTCGTTCTTGAACAGGAAACAGCTAAAGTCCATGTCCTGGACCTCAGTCACCTGAAACTTGTAACATCTGTATCTCCGTTCCCGTGTGATAAACCACTCTAGGTGATGGCGAATTGTGGGTCTTATCCTAACACGCTCTTAACCTGTGTTTTATCATTACAGAAAGGAAGAGATATGCTTGACGAAATCCAACGTTTGATCCACAAGTAACTGGAAGATGCACAGATGACAAGTGAAACTGTGTGAATTTAGTTTTACGTCGCTCTTAGCAGTATTCCAGCAATATCATGGCGGGGGACACCAGGATTGGGCTTTAAACATTGTACTCATGTTGGGAAGCGAACCCGGTCTTCTGCGTGACTACCGAAAGCTTTAACCATCCCACCGCCCCACAGATAATGACGTCAACAAGAGGTGCACACAGTTTTAGTACTCAGTGGATAACAGAACATTACTGCATGTAATATCTACACACTGGTTGTTGTATTGAGTGCCGGGGCTGAATGTACTCAAGAGAACCTATGGCGGACGTAGATGCGACTGAATGCATTCCTGGGACGTATGCCGGCGTCGTGGATTGTTGTTCATGAACCACTCAAGCGTCTAGTCCACACGCGATTACTACAGGCCTCTAGAATAATAGGGAGTACAACAACAAAACATGGATGTCCGGACGATTTGAAGTTCACAAATGCAGTGGTGTGTTGTTGGTTTTTTGTCTAGTTCTTGTCGAGTAATTCTACAGTAGCCATCTTGCTACATATGATGGACAACTCACTGTTATCGTTTATGATTCTGTGTGATTGTGTCTAGCTGAGGGAACAGTATGTATTCTGTATTATAACATAATTAGTGTAAATTGTTTGGTTCACAGAGAGGAAAGGTGTTAATAATGAAGCGTAAGACTTTGTGGCCTAGATGCTATTCTGTCATGCGTATTTGACATAGCAACAGTCACACGCGTTGCTAAAGACTTCTAAAGAGTGTTTGATATCATTTGATGCGCTGTGAATTCTGCCGTTTCTAAAAATCGTTACACTGCAATAATGAGGAAGGGAGTACATGTACTTTCAAATATATTCAAGAAGATATTGCAGGTACGCTTCAATCGCTTTGAAGACTAATAGCCCCATATGAAATGAACATGTGTGTGAGTTTCAATACGTGAAGTAGTATCGTCGCCTGATACTTTTTGTCACTTTTCATATTGAACTATCTGATATATTTATTGTAGATTTATAGGCAAGACATTACTTTTAATATTGTGACCATTTAAGGTACTGTCAGTTATGTTTATGTTATTGGGGGCGGTGGGGTAGCCTAGTGGTTAGGGCGTTTGCTCGTCACGCCGAAGACCCGGGTTCGATTCCCCACATGGGTACATTTCTGGTGTCCCCCGCCGTGATGTTGCTGGAATATTGCTAAAAGCGGCGTAAAACCAAACTCACTCACTCACTCATGTTATGGTGTTTGGGCGCTTTGTATTCATTCTAGTTCTATAACACGAGCTACCGAATATTTATTGTGCCATTGTGTATCCACATCAAGCAGTTCATCAACTTGTTCTTACAATTTTCGTCTTAGTGGATATCATGGAGTAGTAGAGTAGTAAAATATGAAGATTTTGTGTTTAAGAACACTGAGCCAGCTTACATTGGATAAAGGAAACAATTGCTTTTAAATATTGTAAGATTTTTCTTTGAATGAAACTATATAAGATACAAAATATATAAAATAAAAGTAACTAAAATAAACTGCCGGTGTATATCCATATTGTGACCTTGTATGTAACAGATTCCTGTGCTTTCCGTTAGTGTGAAAGAAAACAGAAACTGTTGGTCTTCAGTTTTGGCCAGTTTCAAACAGATTGTTGGACGTCAGTAATTATCGAAAGCGTACAATATCACATGGTCGGCTTAAGAGTTGTCTTATATAATATATAAAAATACAGTTTATGGATGGAGTTAACACTCTCATAAACAGTTCACTCACTCACTCACTCTCAGACTACACACCAGCAGTGATCATGAGCAACCAAACTATTGCGTATGTACAAACGTTAGATAAAATACAACACAAATCACAACCAAAAACACAATCCCCACGAAGTAAACCTGGTGCACTGTCAATTGAACCAATCAAGTAAATCACGTAGACAGAAGTAAACCTGGTACACTGACAGAGGAACCAAACAGGTACATCACGCAGACAGAAGTAAACCTAGTACACTGTCAATGGAACCAAACAGGTAAATCACGCAGACAGAAGTAAACCTGGTACACTGTAAGTGTGACCACACAGGTAAATCACGGAGACACAAGTAAACCTGGTTCACTGAAAATGTGACCAAACAGGTAAATCACGGAGACACAAGTAAACCTGGTACACTGTGAATGGAACTAATCAAGTAAATCACACAGACAGAAGTAAACCTGGTACATTGTCAATGGAACCGATCAAGTAAATCATGCAGAAAGAAGTAAACTTGGTACACTGTAAAGGGAATCAATCAAGTAAATCAAACACACAGAAGTAAACCTGGTACACTGTCAATGGAACCAAACAGGTAAATCACGCAGAGAGAAGTAAACCTGGTACACTCTCAATGGAACCAAACAGGTAAATCACACAGACAGAAGTAAACCTGGTACACTGTCAATGAAACCAAATAAATAAATCACGCAGATATAAGTAAACCTTGTGCACTGTCAATGGAACCAAACAGGTAAATCACGTAGACAGAAGTAAACCTGGTACACTGTCAATCGAACCAATCAAGTAAATCACACAGACAGAATTAAACCTTGTGCACTGTCAATGGAACCAAACAGGTACATCACGCAGACAGAAGTAAACCTGGTACACTCCCAATGGAACCAAACAGGTAAATCACGCCGACAGAAGTAAACCTGGTACACTGTCGATGGAACCAAATAAATAAATCACGCAGATATAAGTAAACCTGGTGCACTGTCAATGGAACCAAACAAGTATCTCACGCAGACAGAAGTAAACATGGTACACTGTCAATGGTAACAAACACATAAATCACGCAGATATAAGTAAACCTGGTACACTGTCAGAGGAACCAAACAAGTATATCACGCAGACAGAAGTAAACATGGTACACTGTCAATGGAAAACAAACAACTAAATCAGGCAGATAAAAGTAAACCTGGTACACTGTCAGTGGAACCAAACAAGCATATCACGCAGACAGAAGTAATCCTGGTACACTGTTATTGGAACCAAACACATAAATCACGCAGATAGAAGTAAACCTGGTGCACTGTCAATGAAACCAAACAAGTATATCACGCAGACAGAAGTAATCCTGGTACACTGTCAATGGAATCGAACAGGTAAATCACGCAGATATAAGTAAACCTGGTGCACTGTAATTGGAACCAAACAAGTAAATCACGCAGACAGATGTAAACCTGGTACACTGTCAATGGAATCAAGCAAGTAAATCACGCAGACAGAAGTAAACCTGGTACACTGTCAATGGAATCAAAGAGGTAAATCACGCAGACAGAAGTAAACCTGGTACACTGTCAATGGAATCAAACAAGTAAATCACGCAGACAGAAGTAAACCTGGTACACTGTCAGTGGAACCAAACAAGTAAATCAAGCAGATATCAGTCAACCTGCTGCAATGTCAGTGGAACCAAACATGTAAATTATGCAGACAGAAGTAAACGTGGTTCACTGTCAATGGAACCAAACAAGTAAATCACGCAGACAGAAGTAAATCTGGTACACTGTCAGTGGAACCAAAGAAGTAAATCACGTAGACAGAAGTATACCTGGTACACTGTAAGTGCCACAAAACCAGTAAATCATGCGGACACAAGTAGACCCGGTTCACTGTCAATGGAACCAAACCAGTAAATCATGCAGACAGAAGTAAACCTGGTACACTGTCAATGAAACCAAACAGGTAAATCACACAGACAGAAGTAAACCTGGTACACTGTAAGTGTGACCAAAGAAGTAAATCACGCAGACAGAAGTAAACCTGGTTCACTGTAAATGTGACCAAACAGGTAAATCAAGGAGACAGAAGTAAACCTGGTACACTGTGAATGGAACCAATCAAGTAAATCACACAGACAGAAGTAAACCTGGTACACTGTCAATGGAACCAATCAAGTAAATCAGGCAGACAGAAGTAAACCTGGTACACTGTAAAGGGAAACAATCAAGTAAATCAAACAGACAGAAGGTAACCTGGTACAGTGTCAATGGAACCAAACAAGTAAATCACACAGACAGAAGTAAACCTGGTACACTCCCAATGGAACCAAACAGGTAAATCACGTTGACAGAAATAAACCTGGTACACTGTCAGTGGAACCAAACAGGTAAATCACACAGATATAAGTAAACCTTGTGCACTTTCAGTGGAACCAAACAAGTATATCACGCAGAGAGAAGTAGACCTGGTACACTGTCAATGGAATCAAACAAGTAAATCACGCAGATATATGTAAACCTGGTGCACTGTCAATGGAACTAAACAAATAAATCACGCAGATATAAGTAAACCTGGTGCGCTGTCAGTGGAACCAAACAAGTATATCACGCAGAGAGAAGTAGACCTGGTACACTGTCAATGGAATCAAACAAGTAAATCACGCAGATATAAGTAAACCTGCTGCACTGTCAGTGGAACCAAACAGGTAAATCACGCAGACAGAAGTAAACCTGGTTCACTGTCAGAGGAACCAAACAGGTAAATCACGTAGACAGAAGTAGACCTGGTACACTGTAAATGGAACCAAACAAGTAAATCACACAGACAGAAGTAAAGAAGGTACACTGTCATTGGAACCTTACAAGTAAATCACGCAGACAGAAGTAAACCTGGTACACTGTCAGAGGAACCAAACCAGTAAATCACGCAGACAGAAGTAGACCCGGTTCACTGTCAATGAAACCAAACAGGTAAATCACGCAGATATAACTTAACCTGGTACTCTGTCAATGGAACCAAAGAAGTAAATCACGCAGACAGAAGTAAACCTGGTACACTGTCAATGGAACCAAAGAAGTAAATCACGCAGATATAAGTAACCTGGTACATTGTCAGAGGAACCAAACAAGTAAATCACACACACAGAAGTAAACCTGGTGCACTGTCAGAGGAACCAAACAAGTAAATCACACAGACAGAAGTAAACAGGATTTTGTGATCTCCACTGAAATATCATTCCGATGAAGATATCATGCTGATAATCGTGTCTTGTTTGTAATTTATGAAGATATCTCTATTAAACTGTGTACACATTCCACAGTCTGGTTGCTTTCTGTTGGTTTTCCTGAGACTCAATTTCTTTCTTCTTCATAGCATTACCCGTGAAGATCCGGGTTAGAATTGGTCTTTAGTAACCCATGCTTGTCGTAAGAGGCGACTAATGGGATCGGGTGGTCAGGCTCGCCGACTAGGTTGACACATGTCATCGTATCCCAATTGTGTAGTACGATGCTCATGCTGTTATTGTCTGGTCTAGACTCGACTATTTACAGACCACCGCCATATAGCTGGTATATTGCTGAGTGAGGCGTTAAACAACAATCAATCAATCTTCACAGCATCATGTGTTCCCGTGACAAACAACAAACATATACCTGTCTATTTATACTCTCACTGTTCATGAAGGCAGACTAGAGCCCAAGAAGTGTCCATTACAAAAATGAAAAATACATTCACCTATGACACATTGTAACACAGAAACAAAGAGACATAACGGAGTAGTAGACCGGGAGGTTGAGCTTGTTGATAAGTTGTCATGTTGTCATGGAAATGAAAAGTTGTGAAATTACACCCATCTTAGGACAAAGTGTTTCTTTCTTTACATTTCTTTGAAGTATATTGTATATATTGAGTATATTACGTTATACCCCAGTACTGAATGTACTATATCATGTTATACAAGACAAGGCAAGACAAGACAATACTTTATTACCTTAAAAGGAATTCGTTTTGGATCACAGAGCTTGAGAAAAATACAAATGCAAGCATTTCTGGCCTGACTTTAGGAGCGGTAAGAATGCATTACACTGGACACGTCAGCCATTTTCGTGCTAGTTCGGTCAATGTATTCTATTTCTTAGGAATATTTCAAAGGGATAGAGTTAGGGTTTAGGGTTAGGGTAAGGGATCTCACACAGGCATTATCTCCTATGGAACACAGTTTGGGATGATAAATCAGGTTATACCTCAGTACTGAGTGTAATATCTTATGCTATATATCATATATCATGTTATATGACGCACAAAGTGTATCAAATTATACCTCAAATCGAATGGCACGTGTTGAGTAACATATGATATACCACACGGTGAGACATAACGTATGCCATACAACACGGGTGATACATAACGTATGTCATACAACACGGGTGATACATAACGTATGCCATACCACACGGATGATACATAACGTATACCATACCACACGGGTGATACATAGCGTGATACATAGCGTATGCCATAAGTATGCCATACCATTATGCAGTTATGTCTTCACAAACAAATAATGTCTCAAGAGGACGGATTGAACGAAACAGTCTAAAACTGTCAAACCTGATTCACTGAATTAAATAGAATCATTCTATCAAACTTTTCAACCAATTCAAAGAGATTTTGCAATTTTGTTGTGGTTAAAATTGCTGCACACGGTGAACACTGTCGGCCCACGTTGTCCTGCATAGCCGGATTCAGAGGTGGGGTGCCCCCCTTTTTGTCCTGAAAGTTTATTAAATGACCATTGAAACTGTCGTGAAGATGAAGTGTTGGAGCCAGGATATAATGCAAACCGTCGTGAAGATAACACTCCATAACTACAAGATTGGCTTCACGAAGTATATAACATGATATAAAGGGTTATTGACATCATGAATCAACAGAACTTCTGGTTTGTATGAAACAGTATGGAACAGCCTCAACATACTCAATAATACTTGGTCCCCATTTCTATATTCAGATTTATAGTATATACAAACACAAACAAAAAAAGCTTTTAAGCTAAAGTATTTGTTCTTGATCGAACAGTGGTCAACGTAGTTGCATGCTGATACAATATAAAGTTTTTCACCTTTGAAACACAAACATTTGTCTAGTTTCCTCCCGTTTTCGTCCTAGAAAACTGTTAAATACACAATTTGTTCAACAATCTGACAACAGTGTCATTCATAATGTCTCCGGCAAACTTCAATGTTGGTTTGAAGAAAGATATACCATGGAAGCATTGAGACGCCCCTTTATGTTAAAAAGCACGAAATTGTCATTGTCTGCAACTAATCAAATGTAACAATGGAGCCATTTCCTCCCCAGGACCCGGTTGTGTCAAACTTTAATGAAGCATTAAGGGACCATTAAACGTTCATTAAGTAATGTGTCATTAAATTCTACTGTACTAAGGTTTTAATACGTCATATTGTCATTAGCGCGTCATTAACTTAATGGTGCTTCTGAGGTATCATTAGAGCGTCATTAACTTCCTGGAAAAGTGAACATTGCGCCAGAATTTTATTTGCGCAGCACTGGATATATCTACAGCTAAAACATTACACAGAAATGTAGAATATGAAATTGTCTATCCCATAGTGGAAACTCAAGTGCAAATACTTAGGCTGTTTGAAAAATAGACACTGCTATAAGTTATCCCGAATTTTGTTATGTGTTAAAAACAGTACATTTATATCGTGCACTGATGAAAGTACTGTGCTGCTATATTTTTAATTTGGCATCTTTACGGAATGTGTACACGAACAAAATACTGTCTAATATCTGAACGACAAAAGTATACATGAAATTAGTTTGTGTGCTTATGTATAACGTTATACACTCAATCTTCAAAATGACTTGCAATACGTCTTGAAAATGGAATGTCCTCTATGACGTCAAATGACTACAAAAATGTCATAAGCCTATAAAGGTAAGGGGGCATCACTCCGCTATGCTTAACACTGAGTCATTGTATACAGCTTATATCACTTGGGGAGAATTTGTTGTGGATAAAGACATTATATTTTCGTGATGTTTTGTTCACGAAAAGTATAGAAAACAATGATAGTCAAAACATTTGTGACAAATTTAACGCGCACCTGGTCAATGATTAAATACGCCATTGTTTGGTCTGTTTAACCACATAAACAAATTAATGTTGACATTAGTTAATGAAGCAATGATACAACCGGATCCATTACATTGGCATAAGCTCCAGCCTTCAGTAACACATCAACACACTCTGTAGATCCCCGTCCTGCTGCTGTATGAAGTGGTGTGTCACCTGTATTATTCTGTACATTAACATCAGCTCCAGCCTTCAGTAACACATCAACACACTCTGTTGATTCCAAGTTTGTTGCTCTATGAAGTAGTGTGTCACCTGTATTATTCTGTACATTAACATCAGCTCCAGCCTTCATTAACACATCAACACACTCTGAAGATCCCCATATTGCTGCTGCTGTATGAAGTGGTGTGTCACCTGTATTATTCTGTACATTAACATCAGCTCCAGCCTTCAGTAACACATCAACACACTCTGTTGATTCCAAGTTTGTTGCTCTATGAAGTGGTGTGTCACCTGTATTATTCTATACATTAACATCAGCTCCAGCCTTCAGTAACACATCAACACACGCTGTAGATCCCCGTTCTGCTGCTGTATGAAGTGGTGTGTCACCCGTATTCTTCTGTACATTGACATCAGCCCCAGCCTTCAGTAACACATCAGCACAAAATGTAGGTCCCTCTCTTGCTGCTGTATGAAGTGGTGTGTCACCTGTATTATTCTGTACGTTAAAATCAGCTCCAGCCTTCAGTAACACATCAACACACTCTGTTGATTCCAAGTTTGTTGCTCTATGAAGTGGTGTGTCACCTGTATTATTCTATACATTAACATCAGCTCCAGCCTTCAGTAACACATCAACACACTCTGTAGATCCCCGTTGCTGCTGCTGTATGAAGTGGTGTGTCACCTGTATTATTCTGTACATTGACATCAGCCCCAGCCTTCAGTAACACATCAGCACAAAATGTAGGTCCCTCTCTTGCTGCTGTATGAAGTGGTGTGTCACCTGTATTATTCTGTACGTTAACATCAGCTCCAGCCTTCAGTAACACATCAACACACTCTGTTGATTCCAAGTTTGTTGCTCTATGAAGTGGTGTGTCACCTGTATTATTCTATACATTAACATCAGCTCCAGCCTTCAGTAACACAGCAACACACTCTGTAGATCCCCATATTGCTGCTGCTGTATGAAGTGGTGTGTCACCTGTATTATTCTGTACATTAACATCAGCTCCAGCCTTCAGTAACACATCAACACACTCTGTAGATCCACATATTGCTGCTGCTGTATGAAGTGGTGTGTCACCTGTATTATTCTGTACATTAACATCAGCTCCAGCCTTCAGTAACACATCAACACACTCTGTAGATCCCCATATTGCTGCTGCTGTATGAAGTGGTGTGTCACCTGTATTATTCTGTACATTAACATCAGCTCCAGCCTTCAGTAACACATCAACACACTCTGTAGATCCCCATATTGATGCTGCTGTATGAAGTGGTGTGTCACCTGTATTATTCTGTACATTAACATCAGCTCCAGCCTTCAGTAACACAGCAACACACTCTGTTGATCCTGCTGCTGCTGCTGCTGCTGTATGAAGTGGTGTGTCACCTGTATTATTCTGTACATTAACATCAGCTCCAGCCTTCAGTAACACAGCAACACACTCTGTAGATCCCCACTTTGCTGCTGCTGTATGAAGTGGTGTGTCACCTGTATTATTCTGTACATTAACATCAGCTCCAGCCTTCAGTAACACAGCAACACACTCTGTAGATTCCCACTCTGCTGCTGCTGCTGCTGTATGAAGTGGTGTGTCACCTGTATTATTCTGTACATTAACATCAGCTCCAGCCTTCAGTAACACAGCAACACCCTCTGTAGATCCCCACACTGTTGCTGCTGCTGTATGAAGTGGTGTGTCACCTGTATTATTCTGTACATTAACATCAGCTCCAGCCTTCAGTAACAAATCAACACACTCTGCACAACCCGGTCTTGTTGCTACATGAAGTGGTGTGTCACCCCAAACATTTGAAGCTTGGTTGACACGTGCTCCTTTCTTCAGCAAATACGAGACAACTGCTGGGTTTCCTTTACATGCACTGAGAAGAGGAGCTCTTCCATCAGGTGACATCATATCAACAGTAGCACCCTTCTCAAACAACATCTCAACTATATTTCTGTTCCCGACCTCACAAGTTCTGCACACAGCACTGCTGTCAACCACTGCTCCTCTGTCTAAAAAATAACGTACCATGTTCGCGTTCAGGCTACATACAGCATATGTAAGACCTTTCTGGTTATCTATATCACATCCTCTGTTAACCAACAGTTCCACAACCTCTAAGTGACCATTCCGTATGACAGTGTACACACTGGGGAAAGATCCATGATACTGATTAACTTCCACTCCCATGTTAATCGCATGCTTCACAGCTGATGTAAGGCCATTCTCACAAAGATAATTAAAAACAGTTTGGCCTCGAATGTCTCTTGCTTTTAGGTCGGGGTCTAGAGACAAGATCTGATTGACAAACTCACTGTCCCTGGTTTCTGCTGCCAACATAAGCGGCGTCTCTATCCTCAGACCATATGTAGCATTTACCTCAAGTTTCATTTGTCCACTGATGTATTTCAGTATACCGCATGCAGCATTCGTGCACACACCCAGTAAAATGTCCCTTCCTTCACTCTGGGTGAATGAGATATTTTCTGTCTCCATCATATATTTGATGAGATGATGTGACTTGTTGTTGGAAAGTAATTCACAAAATGACTTCTTTGATGAGTTATCAGTTAGTTTCACAATATCAGATGCACCCATGTGAAACTGGGTCTTCAGGCAGTCCATTAGCAAGTCGACAAAGTCTGAATAACAAAGTGACTGGTGTGATAAAACATGCAACAAATTGCTCCGTTGCATTTCACTTGCAAATCTTCTGGCCAAAAGTTTAGCATAAGTCCATGAGACGTTTGCAACAAGATCTGTCTCAACAGCAACGCTTTTCTCTTTTTTCTCATTACTGGAGGGCGTAAGACGAAGTCGCTGATTTATAAAGGACAAACTACAATTTTCAATGACAAACTTTGGTTGTTTTGTACTGAGAATAAAGGAAACACTGTCATATATAGACGGATGATCAAACACGTAGGTGTCATCTTCCTTCTTGAGGTAAGATCCAACCATATTATCAGCAGCTGCTATGTATTCATAACCGAAGTTATCATCCTCCTCCATTTCTTGTCCACTAATCTTTCCATCTCTTTTAATCATAGCCATGAACAGTGAACGCTTTATCTTATCTGTCAAATGTCTATTCAAAGTTTGGCTGAGGAAATCCAGTGGCGCTTGAAAAAACATTTGCATTTGAAGCTGAGTCCAATCCTTTTCATATGCTGCGACAAACATTTTACAGACATGAGGGAAGCCGTGTGGACAGTCTGCCTCACATATCCGAGACACAGTTGACTCTTCGATGTCTATGTTTTTTGCTTCAGCATGAACACGCCATATCTTCCTTCGCTCATAAGAGGCTCTCTGTGAGGAAACTTCCACCACATATTGGGGACTGGAAATGTAATCTGCCATCCTTCCCAAGTCTGCCAATGAGGATTTCAGCACATAGTCACGACCTACGAGGATAATGATAGTTTCTTGTTTCACCTCTGTTTGATCAACTTTGGTCATCTCTGAAACCTTCTCACTTTTAGTAGAAATGCCCAAAACATCTTTTTCTGCATATGTGTCAGGATGTTTAACATCCACCATAGGTCGTAGACGTGGTCTCCACTTTGCCCACTCAGCTGCATCGAATTCCAGATCACCGAATATGTCATCTAACATAATTACAGGGTTCTTGTAGGCCATTATGACCTCGCTGTATTCTTCTGGTGACTCCACTTGATATACTTGTCTCCCCTGACTATCAAGGTTTTTGAGAACCATGTAGGCTGTTGTGGACTTCCCCTCTCCTGGTCTTCCTTTAATTGTCACCCATGTCGCTCCTCTGTCCAGCTTCTCTTTCACTTTCTTGAGGGCGGCTGTCTCCACTATGTCTTTCGTCCATGACTGTATCCTGGATGCCGTCCTCTCTGTGGACACAAGGCAGATTTAAAACAATTATGAATGAAATATTTGCAACAGTTAACAAACTTAAGATTTAAACATCTTACTTCAGAAAAGGGAATCGAACCCGTGTCTTCGGCAGGACAAGCATACGTTCTAACCACTAGGCTACCCCACTGCCCTATACAAAGTTACTGAAATTGTGTTAAAGGCTCTTTAAAAGACATTACCCAAATTTCGGGCATCTGTTGAAATAGCAGAAGACGTAAAGATTGCGTAAAGAATAAACAAAAATCCGATGTTGTGCTAGGCAATGCCAGTAACAAGACGTGGCCAATAATCACTCAGATCACCCATCAAATTAAGAATATCAACAAAGTCATGCCTCGGGGACAGTGACAGATGGAGAGTTATAGATAGAGCAGCGTGACGTTGCTCGTCTATTCAACGAAACACCCTTTGCTATATTATGGCGATATTTTCAGCAAAACAATCAAGATGTACACTGCCCCCATAATAGCCGCCCCCATGTCAAGACCGATGAAGTTGAACCGTGCACGTCCGACACGGGGCCCAGCCAGCAACCATTTTAGTTTGTACCGATACCCAGCAATAGAAGAGCATCTGTGATAACAGTTTAATGAGAATAACGTGCCTACGGCCTCCGTGCAAGGTGAACAGCCTGATGACCAGTTAAACATGCTGCTCGAGTTGTCTAGCAGTATCCTAATCAGAGCAGTGTTAATGTGTTATCCTGTCCATCAAGATCCACGAATTTGTTCCCCACTGAACACGCCTGGGATGAAATGGAGCGACGTTCACGACGTCATATGAATCGTCCAGGCAACACCTTTCTCGGAATGACTCTCATGGACGTTTAGTGATCTCAGTGAGGCAATGGTACAAGGCCTGCATCAATGCACAAGGTGGACACACTCGCTACAGACATTGTAAACATGCTGCTTCTGTAGCCCCTCTTGTGCTCTGACAAATTTGCATATGCCAGGTGCGCTGTTCTTATTGACTTTTGATCATTACCAATCCTTTCGATATTTGTCTCTTTCAGAACTGTTGACCTTTGAGTCTATTCATCTTGTCAATAAGATGTGAAACGATGAGGATGAACTGAACCAGATAATGTTTCCTACACACTTCAACAGACAGGTTATTGTTTGATCAGGTTGATGTTTTCTGAATAATGTTGAGGAGTAAAACCTTTTCTGCCCGTTTTAGTAACTGAATATATTTTAAACATCATACTTCTTTTTACACTGGCAAGTGTTAATCCAGTTTGCACACTTTAATTCTAAAGGGCTCACTGAAATAATTCTTTGACTGTGGAGTTTGATGTGAAACTGTTCAGGTGAATATATGAGATGCATTTAAGATAAGAAAGTATACTTAGGCGTATCGCAATTATATACTATATAAGTGAGTGAGTGAGTGCGTGCGTTCGTGACTTAGCAGAACAACGCTATGAGTGATATCAGAAGTATTCATCTAAAATAGTGCGAGGCCATGACATTCATCAACCAAGTTGGCGAACCTGGCCGTCTCATCAGTCGTCATTTAAGACAAGCAGTCGCCACCAGTTTTAAGACGGGGAACAAGCATGGGTTGCTGAAGACCAGTTCTAACCAGATCTTCACGGGGAGACAAGCGGGTTGCTGAAGACCGGTTCTAACCCGGATCTTCACGGATCTTCTGAAGAGTTAAATCTATTGAATGGACTTTAGCATAATTTATTATCCATTACTGTACTTCCTTTATAGGTGTGTACTCAGATTATATCAGTCCGGTTTGTACATTGCCACCATATGGACAATTATTGTGAAAACAAGTTTGTCAAATAACTCACTCCTGATCTTCTGTGCTGCAGTCAGTGGTTTCTCTTCTTCCTCTTTGTTGGTCGGAGCTGTACCGACATTCTGAGTTCCGCCAATGTTCAGATTCTTGCCTCCCTTCACTGTCACATGACCACTGTCACATGTACCAAAGTCCTGTAACAGAAACCACGTGACTTGTACATAAGGTTGTGAACTTAGCGTGACTGTAACAGAAACCACATGACTGAAGCTTACATAGATATGTTCCATATTTGAACTTAGTTTCTACTAGTGATTCTGAAAACAGGTTATAACATCTGCAGACAAAAACACTAGTTTGAAAAAGTTGCACTGTTTGACTGCAACAGAAGTCATATAAGTGAAGGTTCAATATACTAACGGAAAAACGTAACTGCAGTAAAAAAAATTGCATTAGATAAAAATTATTTGAAAAGTTACATTATTTAAGAATAACCCTAAGTAAAGCACTTTGCATGAAATTTGACATTCACATATTTACTGTCACGTCTCGAAACTGCTGTAGTGAGTGAGTGAGTGAGTGAGTGAGTGAGTTTAGTTTTACGCCGCACTCAGCAATATTCCAGCTATATGGCGGCGGTCTGTTAATAATCGAGTCTGGACCAGACAATCCAGTGATCAAAAGCATGAGCAATCATCTGCACACTTGGGAACCGATGACAGGTGTCAACCAAGTCAGTGAGCCTGACCACCCGATCCCGTTCGTCGCCTCTTACGACAAGCATTAGTTACTGAAGGCCAAAATTCTAACCCGGACATTCAGGGGTACAAAACTGATGTAACAGATGCCATATGACTGAAGGTTTTACAGATGTGTTCCATTTTTTTACTCCGATATCACTACTGATTCTGAAAACAGAGATAACTTCAACATATCTTTTTGAGAGGCGACTGCCAAGTTACATTTGTTAATAAATTGCTTCGATATAACTGAACACAGCTTGACAAAGACTTGTGCTGAGGTCAAACAAGCTTCCATGGAGGCTGTGTATGTTTATGGACACTCTGCCAAACGATGGCGACATTGATACAACAGCTTCAAAGCTAGATATATGATTTACCTAAAAAGTAGGAGATACTGGGAGTAGACAAAACGTGAGGTATTGGTAAATGTAAGTGATCTGATCTAATCTGGTGAGAAGTAAGATTCTAATGGTTGGTGAGATAAGTTGATAGTTTATTTTAAAGAGGTCAACAATATCAGGTAAACCCACCCACCTCTAATAGAGTCCCCAGTCATTGGTACTTCAGGCAACCCAGACTGTATCTGTGATGCAAGAGATCCTGGTATTTGGGACAGAAGAGACGATGTTGACGGTGGTGTCAGGGCTGATGTTCCCGGGACCTGTGGACTTGTTTTCGGAACTACACAAGTTGTACTTGTGGACAGGTGTGCCTGATCTGTTCTTCCATCACCATCACCGTCACCATCATCATCACCACCTGATCCTGGTTGGAGTTGCTGTTGTTGCTGTGGTGCTGATGTTATTTCTCCCTGTGCTGGCTGACAACATCCCACAATGTGTTGTACTAGTGACTTGGTATCTACGAAACAAACAGTCCAATAACATAACACGAACAATGACATATGAATGACATTGTTAAAATGGCATAATGTAACTATATAGTTTAAGTCTGTCTATAAACACAGCAGGGGAATCTGATTGTAACGTTCAGTCAGGCAATCTGGTTTTCACCACCACTCACCACTCACCACAGTAGAGTAACAGGTAACCAATTTTTGTATAATTTCATCAAATATTCCTTTGTTTCGTTTTGCTTGACTAAACCTAGTGGAGCGTTTATAAACTTGTTCCTCATATGGGTATTCATATTCATGGCTGTTCATATTTCTGACTGTATTTCCTGTTACCACAGGGCTTTCAAAACCTAAGTGGTCAGCTAAATAGATCCACGGATGTCTATAACTCACCTGAATTGTACGAAATAACATAACGGCTTACAGTGTTAGGTAAAAGAACAATGGTTCACAGCTTACACAGCGGTTTACTTTGACACAATCTACCGCTGACACAATACAATTATCTTTATCAAATGCGTATTCATGGATTGTTTATACAATTTCTGTTAACACTGGTGAACGCTTCTTACAATTCAAACCTAGCACGTCTAAACACTCAAATCTTGAACCTCTCTCAGCCAATGTCAGTTGGAATATTACCTCTCAGAAAGATGCTACAAAGATATGTACAACCTAGCAGGGGTAACTGTCAGTAGGATTATAGTGTAAAGTGTTTAAAATGTGTAAAGCAACATTGGTGCACGACACTCAGCTCAGGTTCAACGGGATTCATCGCCAGCAAAATGTTGTGAGAACTTGGTGATTATAATGGAGAGGTAAATACAGTCTTCCATACTTCACTATAACATTCATAAAGGTGTGACTGGTGTTGCATCAAGAAAGTACCACTTCCTATAACTATTTCCTTAAGACACACATACCTTTACCTGCAAGCTGATATGACTGTTGATGAACAGTCTGGAATTTGACCGCTTCAGCACGTGCTCCAAGTTGTAACATGTCTTGTATCCCATCCCCTTCTTCCTCGTCTCTGTCATCACTAGATCCGCAACTCTCTTCATCAACATCCCTGTTTTCTGCACCCTCCATGCCTGGTCCTTCACTTGCTCCTTGTGGGCTGCCCCTGGCAATACCTACAGCTTCCATATGTTCAACGTCTAATGACGTGTCTCCATCTCTGTCTGTTCTGCGGTCTGCTGGGGTACATCCCCCACTCTGTGTGTCACTGTCATCCGTCGGTCTTTGACCGTCTTCCATTCTACTTCTGTTCAGCTCCCAGTTATTATTGAAAATTCAAATCTTTAAACATCCTCCCTTTCCACTTCTAATCAGTGTCCTAACTGTGAACTCTCCACCAGCATCACCCTACAACAGAAACGACTTAGAGATGGTATAGGTTCTTACCGAAACGTCGCCACTGTTGAAATAAAGAAGTTGATCATCCATAAAGTTGTGTCATCACTCTCTATATATTCATAATGTATTCATAAAGGATAATATAGGCCAAACTACTCAGAAAGTGAGTAGTCGTTATATTATAGACAGACAGACAGACAGACAGACAGATAGATAGACAAACAAATTTGCTTATGATGCCGCTTTGGTTGGGTTTATTCGTCAATCGGAGTGTTAGAGTATAGGAAAAATATTGATGCGTTTACTTCATGATTCAAAGACAATTTCCTCTCCCTGAAAATAAACAAAACAAAGGAAATGATAATTGACTTCCGAAGCTAAAAAAAAAAACACATTGGAACCTGTTTGTATTGATGGACAGGAAGTAGAAACATTAGAAGAGTATAAATATCTGGGTATCTATCATTGATAGTAAACCTTCATGGAATTCAAATTCACATCGTGTACATAGGAAAGCACAACAGAGGTTTTTCTTTCTGTGAAAATTGTGATCATTTAATGTAGGCACTAATATCTTAAAATTACTATACCAAACATCCATTATTAGTATTTTAACGTTCTGCTTTCATGCCTGGTATGGCAATCTTCCTCTTACACAGAAAAACAAACTTGACAAAATTGTTTAAACATATCCAGCAAAATTTGCGGCTTCAATTTCGAACCTCTACCTTTTCAGTATGAGTCAAAAGTTAAGAAGAAACATCTGGCCATTCAATCGGATCCATCACACTTTTTTAATGAATGTTATGAATTTCTGCCTTCTGGTCGCCGTTTTAAAATCATGTATTACAAAACTAATAGGACTTCAAAATCATTTGTCCCATACAGCATAAAACTTCTAAATCTTCCTCCAAAATTGTAATAGTGAAATCTATGATGAGGCACGAGTGATTATTATATCATGTACTTTGATTATGTTATGATTCATCATTATAGTCTGATTAGCTTGACATTGTATATATATATTTTAAATTATTTGTTGTTATAAGCTTGTATTGGCTCTTTGAATGCAAGACAAATGTCCCTGTAGGACAATACAGTTTATCTTATTATTATAGGATATTTATATAGCGCACATATCCAGGCAACTAGTTCATGCTCAAGGCGCTGGTATTTTCCCCTCGATCATTGGATGTCAATCTCAACGGCACATCGTATTATCAATCTCAACTCCCTAGGAAGTATACAACTCTTGCAGCCACTAGGCGCACCGAGTTATTGTGGCTTTCTCATCCTAACGAGGTACCCATTCACAGCTGGGTGGACTGACACACATAGTCACAGTACTTTGTCCAAGTTCACTGCACGTTGCTGTACCCGCAGCTAGGTGTTTGCACGTATTCATGTGGCCACCATCTGGTCATATACCAACGGATTCGTGGGTTCTTTTAAGTGCACAGGGTTGTGTACTGTACACTAGGGGTTGTGACAACACTGAAAGAGTCTGCACAGAAAGTTGACTCCAAGGTTTTTTACACCCGGTCACAGGTGGGCTCGATCCCGGCACCTCAACCTCGCTGGACCACTAGCCTGGCGTCTTAGCCAGCTCGCCCACCGCGCCCCCATCTTATCTTATCTCTCTCTATATTTTTTTCTGGTACTTTGTGCTCTAATCAAATCAAATCCCTCCACATACAATCAAATATTACATGACAAAATATCACCTGCTGATTAAAAACAGACTTTGCCATCCTTGTATTTTCGGGAATATTTGTTGATTGATTGATTATTTTCCTGCATGGCAATTCTCTGTATGCTGACGTCAGTAATATAAACAATGGGGTACGGGACCAGCCTATATAAGGCAAGGAATCGATAAGGATCTCTTCCTAACTCATATTAATTTTTAAAACCTTAACACAACTCCTTTTCATCTCCCCTATAAAAAAGTAACCATAGTCTTACTCGAAAGACTATGTGGTACGGGACCATAAACCCATAACACAACTACTTTTTATCTCCCCTGTGAAAGGTATCCATAGTCTTACTCGAAAGTCTTACTTCACATTTCATGAAGCAAAGGGTATCAAGTTCCCCGATGTATGAAAGGTGTATGTTACGGGTTAGATAACACAATACTATATCTATTATATCATCTTATGTTTAACATGAAGGATGTTTGTCAATTTAGAGAATTGTTTTCACATATAATATCAACACTGTGTTTGTAATTTTATGATATGTTTACAGTACATGAATTGAAAAAGCAAGCACGAGACCATGGACTTCGAGGTTATTCTCGTATGAGAAAACATAAATTACTAGATTTATTAGGTTATAAGTATCAAAAAACACTTACTGTGAAAGAACTAACAAAGCAAGCTCGTGAACGTGGAATGCGAGGGTATTCTCGTATGAGGAAATCTGAGCTCATTGAATTACTGAAAGAACAAAAACCTATAGAATTACAATTCACGCCTACTGAGCATGCTGTAGGTAAATATTTGAGAGGTTGGAAGATCGAAGTTCAAAGAAACATAGACGTTGAAGATAAAAACCATTGGTATTTGACAAAGTAAATGAAGAACTGAAAGATTTAAGAGGTATTAAATTTCAACTCACGTTAAACATGACACTAAAGAAACAACAGTCGAATAAAACAACTGAATACACCAATGTTTACTTCAGAGGTAATCAAGAAGTTACAACGCAACCAGACACTATCAACTGTTCTATAGAAAGATCATTAGAAAAAATGCGAGAAACACTAGAACGTTACACTAATATGGGTTCTGGTTGGGTTGTTGACAAGATTAACATGGTCTACCTGGATATAGCAAACTATATACCGTTGAAAGGTGGATCGTACTTACCCATGTCTGAGTATTTCAAGAAAAAACAAGCTATGGTTAACGTTAAAAACCGAGACAACAATTGTATGAGGATAGCGATAAGATCTGCTAAATTTCCAGTTGAAAAACATTCCGATAGACTTTCCAGTTATCCAGAAGATGACGGGATCAATTGGGAAGGTATAGACGAACACACCCCTATCTCTCAGATCCAAGAAATAGAACAACAGAATCAAGCCATAAACGTTTTTGGACACGAAGGTAAAAACGTAATAGTACACAGGATAAGTCCTTTATTGTATAAGGATTGTCGTAAAATGATCAATATATTTATGATCCAACAAGGTGAAAAATATCACTACACATGGATACAGAATTTCAGCCGACTGTTGTACAATCAATTGAAACACAAGGAAAAGAAACACTTTTGTGAAAGGTGCCTTCACGGGTTTTCTAGGGCTGATCTGCTAGATTCGCACAGGGTTGATTGCCTAGGTGTAGGGGAGACAGCCGTACGAATAGATATGCTGAGAGAAAAAACAACATCTTGAAATTTATCAACCACAAAAATCAAACGCCAGTACCATATATTATCTACGCCGACTTCGAAGCGATCATTAAACCAATAGATACAGTAGCTCAATCCACTAATCAAAGTTTCACACATAAAGTACAAGAGCACGAAGCATGTGGGTTCGGGTATGTGGTCGTTCGTTGTGATGGTCAAACTAACCCTCCCCTTATTTATAGAGGACAAGACGCGGCTGAAGAATTTCTAAAGTGTTTACAACATGAAGAGAAAAAGATTATTAAAAAACTATGTAACAAAACACCAATGCGTATGACTCAAGCAGACCGGGAAGCCCACAACAAAAGCACACATTGTCATGTGTGCTGTAAACATCTGAATGGTGATTCAGTTAGAGATCACTGTCACATTACTGGTAAATACAGAGGTGCGGCTCACAATGAATGTAACTTGAAGTTAAGAATAAATCATAAACTTATTCATATACCAGTGGTGTTTCACAATCTTCGCGGGTATGATTCACACTTGATTATGCAAGCTATTTCAAAGGTAAAAGGCAACATATCCTGTATCCCAAACAATATGGGTTGAGATTCATAGATAGTGTTTAGTTTCTGTTGTCGTCTCTAGACAGCTTGGTCAAGGCTAGTATCCCGAACGACTTAGCTGTAACTAATCGTTACACCGAAGAGGAAACTCGTGCTTTGCTGCTACGTAAGGGTATCTACCCGTATGAATATATGGATGACTGGTCTAAGTTTAATGAGACACAGTTACCTCCCATTGACAGCTTCTATAGCAAGCTGTCGGCCGACGCGTCTATCACACAAGACGATTACGAACACGCAAAAAAAGTATGAGAAAAACTGGGTTGTCAGAATTTAGGTGATTACCACGATCTGTATTTGAAAACAGACGTGTTATTGCTGGCTGGTGTATTCGAGATATTCAGAAAAACGTGTTCGAAGCAATACGGGTTGGACCCGGCATGGTATTATTCAAGTCCTGGGCTCTCGTGGAATGCCCTACTGAAGAAAACCGGTGTGAAATTAGAATTATTTACCGATTACGATATGCATCATATTTATAGAGAAAGGGTTACGCGGTGGTATTTCTATGGTATCAAAACGTTATGCCAAAGCTAACAAAGAGTATGTGAAAGGCTACAACCCTAAAAAACCTACAAACTATCTACTCTATCTAGATGCAAACAACCTGTACGGCTGGGCCATGAGCCAGTATCTACCTACCTGTGGTTTCGAGTGGACATCTGAGATCGATGATGTTATGACCATCGCAGTGGATTCGAACAAGGGTTATATACTCGAAGTGGATTTAGAATATCCGGAGCATTTACACACCTCACACAACAGTTATCCCTGGCTCCAGAGCGTTTGAAGGTGAATATGGAATGGATGTCTGACTACCAACGAAATTTGCTGGGTCCTACAGGACGGGTGGTAAACGTTGAAAAACTCGTACCTAACTTGATGAATAAAACCAAGTACATCATTCACTATCGCAATTTACAACTATATCTGTCGCTGGGTATGAAGCTGACTAAAATACATAGGGTACTAAAATTCAATCAAAGCCAGTGGATGGAACCATACATCAGAATGAACACG